TGTGTTTGTGGAAGGAGCCCCGCTCGATACTCTCCTCACACACCTCTTGTAGATCAACATCTATTTCTGTCTACGTCTTGAGCTTGTGTTATGTGTTGCGTTCACCGCTCGTGTATATGTTCCTCTTAAGGACAGGTCAGGTGGAATATTTTAGGTTGTCTCACTCGGTTGGTTGCTCGTGTGTTTTTGTTCGTGTTTTTTGTCGGTGTTTAAACACTTGTTTGTTCAGCCCCCCCCCCCGTCAAGTGTCCAGTGCCAGCCTCAAGTGTCCAGTGCCGCCCTCAAGTGTCCAGTGCCGCCCTCAAGTGTCCAGTTCCGCCCTCAAGTGTCCAGTGCCGCCCACAAGTGTCCAGTGCCGCCCTCAAGTGTCCAGTGCCGCCCTCAAGTGTCCAGTGCCGCCCTCAAGTGTCCAGTGCCGCCCTCAAGTGTCCAGTGCCGCCCTCAAGTGTCCAGAGCCGCCCTCAAGTGTCCAGTGCCGCCCTCAAGTGTCCAGTGCCGCCCTCAAGTGTCCAGTGCTGCCCTCAAGTGTCCAGTGCCGCCCTCAAGTGTCCAGTGCCAGCCTCAAGTGTCCAGTGCCGCCCTCAAGTGTCCAGTGCCGCCCTCAAGTGTCCAGTGCCGCCCTCAAGTGTCCAGTGCCGCCCTCAAGTGTCCAGTGCCGCCCTCAAGTGTCCAGTGCCGCCCTCAAGTGTCCAGTGCCGCCCTCAAGTGTCCAGTGCCGCCCTCAAGTGTCCAGTGCCGCCCTCAAGTGTCCAGTGCCGCCCTCAAGTGTCCAGTGCTGCCCTCAAGTGTCCAGTGCCGCCCTCAAGTGTCCAGTGCCGCCCTCAAGTGTCCAGTGCCCGCCCTCAAGTGTCCAGTGCCGCCCTCAAGTGTCCAGTGCCGCCCTCAAGTGTCCAGTGCCCGCCCTCAAGTGTCCAGTGCCGCCCTCAAGTGTCCAGAGCCGCCCTCAAGTGTCCAGTGCCGCCCTCAAGTGTCCAGTGCCGCCCTCAAGTGTCCAGTGCTGCCCTCAAGTGTCCAGTGCCGGCCTCAAGTGTCCAGTGCCGCCCTCAAGTGTCCAGTGCCGCCCTCAAGTGTCCAGTGCCGCCCTAAAGTAACCAGTGCCGCCCTCAAGTGTCTAGTGCCGCCCTCAAGTGTCCAGTGCCGCCCTCAAGTGTCCAGTGCCGTCCTCAAGTGTCCAGTGCCGCCCTCAAGTGTCCAGTGCCTCCCTCAAGTGTCCAGTGCTGCCCTCAAGTGTCCAGTGCCGGCTTCAAGTGTCCAGTTCCGCCCTCAAGTGTCCAGTGCCGCCCTCAAGTGTCTAGTGCTGCCCTCAAGTGTCCAATGCCGGCTTCAAGTGTCCAGTGCCGCCCTCAAGTGTCCAGTGCCGCCCTAAAGTAACCAGTGCCGCCCTCAAGTGTCTAGTGCCGCCCTCAAGTGTCCAGTGCCGCCCTCAAGTGTCCAGTGCCGCCCTCAAGTGTCCAGTGCCGCCCTCAAGTGTCCAGTGCCGCCCTCAAGTGTCCAGTGCTGCCCTCAAGTGTCCAGTGCCGCCCTCAAGTGTCCAGTGCTGCCCTCAAGTGTCCAGTGCCGCCCTTAAGTGTCCAGTGCCGCTCTCAAGTGTCCAGTGCCGCCCTCAAGTGTCCTGTGCCGCCCTCAAGTGTCCAGTGCCGCCCTCAAGTGTCCAGTGCCGCCCTCAAGTGTCCAGTGCCGCCCTGAAGTGTCCAGTGCTGCCCTCAAGTGTCCAGTGCCGCCCTCAAGTATCCAGTGCTGCCCTCAAGTGTCCAGTGCCGCCCTCAAGTGTCCAGTGCCGCCCTCAAGTGTCCAGTGCCGCCCTCAAGTGTCCAGTGCCGCCCTCAAGTGTCCAGTGCCGCCCTCAGGTGTCCAGTGCCGCCATCAAGTGTCCAGTGCCGCCCTCAAGTGTCCTGTGCCGCCCGCCCTCAAGTGTCCAGTGCCGCCCTTAAGTGTCTAGCCCAGCCCTTAAGTGTAGAGTGACGCCCTCAAGTGTCCTCCACACCCCCACACCCCGACACCCTCCACACCCCCCCCCCCACACCCCCACACCCACACCACACCCACACCCCCACACCACCCAACACACCCCCACACACTCACACCCTCACAACACCCCAAAACACACCCCACAACCTCACCCCACACACACCCCCCACACCCTCATACCCCCACACACCCACACACACCCACCCCAACCCACACCCCCCCACACCTCCACACCTCCACACCCCCAACACCGACACCTCCACACCCCCACACCCACACCTCCCCCACACCCCCCACACCCACACACCTCCACACACCCCACACCCTCAAACCCACCCTCAACAGTTTGATTAACAGTTGAGAGGGCGGGACCAAAAGAGCCAAAGCTCAACCCCCGCAAGCACAATTAGGTGAGTACCACCCACACCCCCACACCCCTACACCCTCATACCCCCCACACCCACACCCCCCCCCCCCGATCCCCACACCCCCACACCTCCACACCCTCACACCCTCCACTCCCCACACTCCC